CCAGTGTTTAAAATGCAGTGTCTCTGTGGTCGGGGTCAAACAGTGCTGCATGGCCCCTCACTGTCCTCACTGTCCTCCCACAGCCCTCCACCGTTCACCCCCGTCACGTGGTTCCCATCGTGCTGCGGGGCCCGGCCTGGTCTAAAGAGAGACAGATGATTGGGTTTGCGAGGTGCATGGTAGTTTTGTTAAGAAAATGCAGTGTTGTTGAGGTTTAACCTGTCATCAACTTTTTCGGTGTCTGATGATTTACCTCAGACTGTCTCTGCTCAGGGTACAGGTGTGAGCACCCTGCCTCGTTGGAGCCTGGATGGGCACAAAGCCTGGTCTGTTGTCTTTCTCTGGAGCAGAGTCGAGCTTCAGCAAGTACAGTTCACATGAGAAGGTTTTTGTTTGAAAAAAAGATAGGATAAAAAAAGAAAAAGTGAGAGTTAAAAACACAACACATTTGAACGGGAAGTGCTGTTTATAGTTTACAATATCAACGTAAAACAGTAAAACAGAACCATAAAATTTATTTTAGAATTTTTTGGCATAATCCTAATTTCACATGTGATTACATCAGAAAGCGAAAAAAAAAGACTATTTTAAAACAATGTATCTTTTCTGCATGTTTCTTATCAATTTAGAGCATTTTGAAAAAAATTTGGGAAATTGTTTTTTAGAATTTTTTGAAAATGTTTGAAATTTGTTGAAATTTGATGTTTTCTGCATGTTTCTCATCAAATTAGAGTATTTTGAACAAATTTATTTTTTTTTTAGTTTTTGGCAAAATCCTAATTTCGCATGTCATGTTGTTCAAACGTTGAAAATATTTCATGAAAATGTTTGAAAAGAGAAATTCAAAATTTTATGTTTTCTGCATGTTTCTCATCAAATTAGAGCATTTTGAAAAGATTTTGGGAAAAAGTTCTTTGTAAAATTCTAATTTCACGTCATGTCGGTCAAAAATTGAAACATTTTCATGAAAGTTTTATAAAACAAAAATTCAAAATTTCATGTTTTCTGCATGATTCTAATCAAATTAGAGCATTTTGAAACAATTTTGGTTTTTTTTGGAATTTTTCAGCAAAATCCTAATTTCGCATGTCATGTCGGTCAAAAGTTGAAAAATTTTCATGAAAATGTTTGGAAAAAGAAATTCAAAATTTTATGTTTTCTGCATGTTTCTCATCAAATTAAAGAATTGTGAAAAAATTTGGGAATTTTTTTTTTTTTTTGGAAAAATCCTACTTTCGCATGTAATGTCGGTCAAAAGTTGAAAAATTTTTTGGATACTTTTTGGAGTATTAAACACAAAA